CCTTCACCTCAGCCCCGGCCGGACCCCCCCCCTCAGGCCGCGGGCTCCCACCCCTCAGGCCTCTGCCCTCTTAGGCCGCTGTATCCCCTTCAGGCCGCTGCCCGGAGGCCTTCCTCCGGCACTTGGCCTCCGGCTCCTGCCGGGGGTGCCCCTGGGTGGGGGCATGGCCCTTCTGGTGACCTGCCCCCCACCTCCCGCCCCAGCACCGCCTCCCCGTCAGGGCGGGCCGGGCTCCCTCAGGGCCGGGCTGGGGCTCCGGGCAGGGCTGGAGGCAGCGGCGCGGTGTGGAGAGCGGGGCCAGCCGGCGGTAATTGAGGTGGGGGGTGAGGGGGGTTATCAACAGCAGAGTTTCCTAGACCGCCCTCCCGCTCTCATCTCCTCGGCAGCAGCCCGGTAACGCAGGTAGTGATGGAGCTGTACGGCGTGGGGCTTTTTAATTTGGTATTTGAGAGGGTTAGAGGGGATCGTGTTGAAACTTGTGCCAATTGCAACATTTTTTTTTTGTCGGTAAACATCCTCACCTTTGTTATTCTTTCTGGATGTGTTATGTCAGAGCAGGGATTACCCTGGAAGTCTGTTGGGGTGAAGAATTGTGGTTTTGTGCCTTGTGTATTGTTTTGAGTCTTCCCCTGTGCATCTGCTGGTGTTTGCCTTGGAAGAAATTGCTTTAATTTCAGTGTTTGTTTCAGGCACTGAATGCAGCTTCTCATGTCAGACTTAGGGTTTTCTGCTTGTTTGTTTGTTTTTCTGTTTTGTTTTTGTTAAAGGAGAAGATGGCAACATGCAATTGAAGGGCTGTTTAAACACCGAACGGCTGCTTGGTTTGATACTCGTGTTGTGATCTGCTAATGATCACAATTTTTGCAGGTGGACTTTGTGCCTGCTCAGATTTGTGGAAGTCTGTGCTTTACCTAGAAGCATGAAAAGTGCAACTGTGCTAATTGTGGAGGAGGAGGACCTTGTTTTAAAAAGTTTGTTAAGAGTAAGCCCTACTCATAGTTTTGGTTCCCCCTTCCAACAGGAGAAGGGGAACAAGGTAAAATAAAATGTGGAATTATCCAAAGAGGAATATAAACATCAGAGTTCTGAGTTCTGCATATAAAACATGCATTTCATTGGAAGTAAACTAGCATCCAGTAAAAGCAATAATTTCGGAAGTAACTGATTGCTGTCACAACTTGGAGATTCCTTGATGTCCATTAGAAAAATGTCTTCCATGTTTTAGAACATGGAAGAACAGTTGTTGATCGTAAAACTGAGCTGGAACCAGGTCGGACTGGTTGTCCCAGTGGGGCTTGCGTACATCAGACAGAATTTGTTGGGGATACAAAATGGAACACTGTTAAAGGCACAACCTTTTATTCATGCTTTAAGTCTAAAAATTTAGATTTTTAATCGCAAAAAGAGCTTAAGGGAAGGAAAGAAGCAAGGAAAAGAACAAAATGTACAAAAGAAAGTCAAAGGTATCGATACCCTTAGGGAGGAGAGTATTTTAATGCAGAATGTAACATAAAGCATACTGACCAAAGATATTTGCATCCCTATATGTGCAGATGCAACAAATTGATGCATATGTTAGAGAAGAAAAAAAATAAATCAAATTGGCTGATGAACCCACCTAATCCTTCAACTTGATGCGTTTCCACTGTGAAGTAATAAAACATGAATCATTTTTTGTAGCGAAAATGAAGGAATAATGATAGAAAGGAGAGGGGTGGCATTTTTTTTAAGTCTTATTAATGGTCTGAAACTGGATTGATGTGTTTGAGACATGAATATATTAAAAACTGGCTTGAGTTCCCTGCCTAAGTATATCCTATTTGTCTGTCTCTACAGGTAATCAGGACGGTATGTTATTTGAATAACTGTGAAATTTCCTTAGACTCCTGTAGCTTTTCTTTGTTTCCTCTGAAAAATGAAAGTGTGTAATTTGCTTCTGCTGAATGTAACAAATAAACCCCAACAATTTAGCTGTAGGCAGATCTTCTGATCCCAGGAATGAACTCTAAAGCTGCTGCTTCTGTGGTTATTATTGTGAGCAGAGAAAGGCATTGTAAATAAACGCATTAAAAAAAAAAATCATGTTGTGTTTTCTGAAAAGGATTTATTTTTTCTTAAAGTTACGGGTGGGGGGAAAAGCTAGATTCATTTTGAGTGATAAGTTCTTCTGCCCTATACCTTTTTCTTTAAAACATATAGTTGTTTTACTACAATAAAAGGATAGCCGTGCTTGGTGTAATGTGTGGTCAGGGAAGGTGCTTGCTTTTCTTACCCCTATACCAACAAGATGATTGTGGCAGTGAAGCCAGAAGTGTTTGTAATTTGTAAATCTGTGTCTCCTCTACACCAACAAGCCTGAAAAGGGTTGCTGGAGATGATTGTGTCAGTGAAGTCAGAAGTGTTTGTAATTTGTAAATCTGTGTCACTCAAGAGTTTCCACATTGGGAGTTGGCTCATCTAGGGCTTAAGAAGACCTCAGAAATTCCACAGGCTTCAGCGGAAATTCCCTCTGCTGTTGTTGTCTGTATTATTAACTGTTTTAACGATGATGGTGGTTCAGGCACTAAAGATGAGCTGAATTAAAGTGTATTTGCTAAAGCAAGTGTGTAGTTTCAGGTTGTTTTTTTTTAACCTCTGTGAACTCAGCATCCTGATACATTTTCTTTGAGCGTGCAATTTGAGATTTTTCTGGCTCTTGCTGCCTGCATCTTAGTCTCTTAATTTTCCCTCGATGCTATTAGAGATAGAAGGTCTGCGTGTGGCAAGAATTCTGACAGGCAAGGCAGACTTGCACTGCTGGTTGGATTTGCAATGAAAAATGACCTCTAAGCACAGGAGCTAGAATAATCCTTTATATAAAAGGGTTCAGTGGAAAAGCTGACGTGCTAGTAAAACGGTGGTAGTGTTTGAAGACAGGGATTCCATATTTAAATTGTCTATTGTGATTTTCCCCTCTGGTGTCAGGTACTGGATGCCAGATCTGCTGCATTTTGTTTTTCATTGTTTGACTGGGGGGTGGAAGTGCTGGTGGTAATGTTTTTCTGCTGCTTGTCTTCCTTAGAGTACCTAAAGGTCTCTCAAAGTACTTCCATCTACAGCAGCGTAATTTAGCGTTAAAGTGCATGTTCTATACCTTACCTTCCTTTATTGTTGTTTTAGTTTTAGTGCTTGTAGAAAACTCTTGAAGATGGGAGGCGCAGTGAGTGCAGGAGAAGATAATGATGAATTAATTGATAACCTGAAGGAGGCACAATACATCCGCACAGAACTGGTAGAACAGGCGTTCCGATCTACAGCAGCATAATTTAGTGTTAAAGTGCGTGTTCTATACCTTACCTTCCTTTATTGTTGTTTTAGTTTTAGTGCTTGTAGAAAACTCTTGAAGATGGGAGGTGCAGTGAGTGCAGGAGAAGATAATGATGAATTAATTGATAACCTGAAGGAGGCACAATACATCCGCACAGAACTGGTAGAACAGGCGTTCCGAGCCATTGATCGAGCAGATTACTACCTGGAAGAGTTCAAAGACAATGCCTACAAGGACTTGGCATGGAAGCATGGAAATATTCATCTCTCAGCACCATGCATTTACTCAGAGGTGATGGAAGCTTTGGATCTGCAACCAGGGCTGTCATTTTTGAATCTTGGCAGTGGCACTGGATATCTGAGTTCTATGGTTGGACTCATCTTGGGTAAATACCTTTTCAATCATGTTAACTATTTACATCAGATTAAAAAATCAAGTTATGAAATTGGGAATGAAGCATTCCTCAAGTAATGAAATTAAAAGGTAGCTCGGAAAGTAAAGAGTGCATTCATCCAGCTGGTGATCAAGTTTTGAAATCGGGAATGAAACATTCCTCAAGTAATGAAATGAAAAGGTAGCTCAGAAAGTAAAGAGTGCATTCATCCAGCTGGTGGATTTACCAGGATTCTTGCAACCTTCTCTCTGGAACTGGGTGGGATCCAGGCTTCTGGGGCAGTTCAGAACAGGCCAGGACGTAGCTGCAGAGGTGGCTGCAGTGGATTCCTGCAGAACTGGGCACAAACTTGGGTTTGTTGCCCCTTGAGCAAGAACCCAGCTTGGGAGCAGGAATGCCATGTTTAACCAAAGATTCAGTGTGTCCACAGAAACCTGTGACTATAGTTGCTCTCTGCCTTGTTTTTACACTGTGTTGTCTAGAGTGAAACATGTTTGAGATCCAGTTTTGACTCTTCCCAACCTACAGGCAGGAATAGTCTGTGCAGAGCAGTTAGTGCATCAGAACTGGCTTCGTGGCCACATCTACAGCAGGCACAAAGCAAAGCATCAAAGTGCAATTATACAATTGCAATTTGTCCTTAAGTATTTCAGTCAGCAGCTGTGCTGCCAGGATAGATAACAAATGGCTACAGGGTACAGATTTTCCTCTTGTGGGGGTGTCAAGAATTTTAACTGCTGTGAAATGTTTGGTGTCAGGATAGAGCCTTGCTCCCGTCTCCCATTTGTGAACATCTTCTGTATTTTCCAATTTATTTTTGCTGTTATTGAGGTGCAATGAATGGTGACTGTTCCTGATTCCTTTGAGGAGATTTTTAGTGTATCAGCAGGGGGGTATAAAAATAACATATAGATTTTTTTTTTTTGAGGGATTTATTAAAAATGCAGGCCATTGTTCTGCATTAGTATCAGTGTTTCCCTCCTACAGAGGAATTTCCTGCGTGGTTAAGAGCAAATGATTCAAAATCAATAGTGCAAAACAGCCTTATTTGCTGCCAGAAATTGCAGGTATAGGGTAGCAGTTCCCACTGCAACACTAAGATAGCTGACCCCACGCAAGCACTGACTGTCTCCCACTCAAGGAACAATCTGTTACAGAAAGTAACCAACACTGTATTCAATCCTGCTGGACTTTGTGTTGTTTCCTGTTACCATTATCCTACTGTTCTAAATTTGCAGGTCCTTTTGGCGTTAACCACGGTGTGGAGCTTCATTCCGACGTGATCGAATACGCCAAGCAGAAATTGGACTTCTTCATTAAAACGAGTGACAGCTTTGACAAGTAAGAATGTGGAGTGCTCGTTTGGGTTCGTGTTGTGCCTTTGGCTTTAGCCCTGGCAGTTCTTGCTCCCGTGTGGCAGCTCTGGATTCAGGGTAATCTGTGGATTCTGGCTCCTTAGGCTGGCTGAGCTGCAGTGTGTGACCTTCTAAGCTGATGTGTTTTGTGGGGGAGTTTCAGAAATTTTTGCAGTGTTTTTAATAGCGATGCTGCTGTTGCAGAGCTTAGAGGAAGCTGAAGGAGGTTACTTATTTTAAAATGCACTTGCAGGTAACAGCTTGAAACTTGCAAGTAACACAAATAGTTACGTTTGTGATCTGAGAGCATACATGGTTATCAGAAGAATATGAACCGATTTCTGTGGTGGCCTAATATGTTTTATCTGAGAAGAAGAAAAATGGTGTTTTAAAACATGGAGGGAGTTTTATGATGATAAAGTTGGTACTAAAACTGCTTGGGATTTGATTTATGTTCTTCCTTAGAACCTCCATTCTGCTGCTGTCACAAGTAATAACTTTCCAGCAAGATAACCATTGCCAATAGTAACCTCAGCAATAAAAATTGTAGCTGTCATATTTTTGGATCCGTCTCACAGTTTGTTCAAACCAAGAAGCATTTCTGGATACCTGATAGTCCTCCTCTCGTGGGAGGAAGAAAATTAAAGTCATTACATGCTGGAATTTAAACTACTCAGCCTTGTGCTGTTCCTGCTGTACTGGAAAGCTGCTGCTGAGAGGGCTGTATTTTTTTGGTGTTGGCAGCACAGACTGAAAGTTTTCGGCGTGGAAGATGCACATAGATCACTGGGGTTTTTTCAGAGTCACATTGCTGGTGTTTGAATGGATGTTTTAAGGAAGACTTTTTTTCCTCAGGCAAACATAGCTGTGGAGCAAAAGTGAGCTGAATTCAGGAATCAACATGACTGGAAAATTGGCACTGCTGAGAGAAATGGCTGCCGGGTTGTGCTGTTGGAACGCTGTGTGCAGGAGCTGTTAGCTGCCTGCTCTGAATGTCTAGCACGCTTTGCAGAAGCAGGAAGCTTCAGGAAGTGTTTAGGAATAAATAGGTGCTATATTGAGCTGCCTCTCAAGATACCAGTAGAAGAATGGCTATGTTGTGTGACTTCTATGAAAATCAGCCCTTAAATGTGGAGCTTAAAACTTATGTAGATTCAGAGCGTGTAAGAAAACCAGAAGCATCACAGAATCATTCATTTATCTTCTAAACTGAATCAGAAATGCTATAGGCAAAACTTCTTATTATGAAGGGTGAAATCACAGTTCTTTTGAAGCTAATGGTAAAACTTCCATTGCCTGCAGCAAAGCATATTTCTGAAGCATCAGGTTATACTTCCCCACAACATCTGAAAGCCATTTAAAAAGCTTTTGGAAATGCCAGACGAACCCCAGTGCAGTCCTTAAAAGACTTTTAACATTTTGAATTGCAGGTCTAACATTTGTATTTGTGTATTATAACTGAGTCAGCATCAGGTGACTAAAAATAGCTCATTCTGAATAGTTATATGCAACTCAAATATGAAATTATGCATCCTTATTGTTTGCAGATTTTCATCTATGAATTCTCAGCTCATTGTTCTGTAATTTTGAGACTTATAGTTATGTTCTGTTCCGATAATATCTAGAATATATGGGCTTCAGAGGAGAAATCCTGTGAAACTGTTTTTTTTCCAAATATTTTTCATTGTTTCATTTTTCTCGGATAGTGAAACTAATTAGTTTGATAAATTGTAATATTCTCATATGATACACATCTTCTTCATTTTCAGATTTGAATTCTGTGAACCGTCTTTTGTTACCGGCAATTGTTTAGAGATTTCTCCAGACTGTACTCAGTATGACCGTGTTTACTGTGGGGCTGGAGTACAGAAGGAACATGAAGACTACATGAAGAACCTGTTGAAAGTTGGGGGAATTCTTGTCATGCCTCTGGAAGAGAAGGTTGAGTTCCTTTCTACCCATGTTTCTCTTTCAATTATTCTTAATTCTGATCTTAGTCGATAGCTCTTCCTTTAGTTTGCCCTTTTTGTTGCAGGTTGGAGAAAGCATTGAGTTTTCACTGAGTGGAGACTGAGCTCTGTGCTCTTTGTAATATCAGAAAAATTCATAGTTCTGCCAGTCTTTCACATATTCTGACCTTTTGTTGTTAATGCAAATTTACTTTCATGCTGCAGAAAAATATCAGCAAGGCTTTGTTCAAGTTATAAAATCTAGTGTCGTACTTATGGTAAAATACAAAATTTTACATCCAAACTGGCTTATGAAAGAGCATGTAAATTGTCCCTATTTCCAGGTGTCAATGGATTTTTTCAAAGAAGCGTATAACTGTCCTGTGTGTGAACTCAAGATTGTAATTTAGATTATCTTTTGGGTCAAAAGTTGTGTTGTTTTAATGGACTTGAGAGGCCACAAACATAGCTGTTCTGGTTCAGAATTGAGGAAGAACTGGGAAAGCAGAGTGATCCAAACTGCCAGTGCCCATGCTCTGTTGTGAGAGATGAAGTTCCTTGGGGCTAATCCTGTAAGGAGTTCTCAATTTTCTAAAAAGAACCAAAAACAACCACCAAGAATGTTTCTTATTATTACCTAATTTTTACTGTTCCAGCTTTTAGTGCTTTAACCACTTGTCCAGGCAGAAAAGTTGTTTGTTCATTTTTTTCTTCTAAAATCTTACTGTAGTTCATACAATGGATGATAATCTCCTTGTTTTGGTTTAGTTGACTAAGATAACTCGAACTGGTCCTTCTGCCTGGGAGACCAAGAAGATTCTTGCTGTTTCTTTTGCTCCTTTGATTCAACCCAACCACGCAGATTCAGGAAAATCAAGGCTTGTTCACTTGCGTGAGTACAGATGTTCCTGAGTATGGGGGAGGTTTCTTTTGCTCTTTGTCTCTAAGCTGCACCTTGCTTCCTTAGATGTTACATCCCTAGGAATCCTTTCAAGGAAAATTACTCCAACTGCTTCCCCCAGCTGTCTGAGTCTTGTGTTGGGGGCCTGGTTCAAGAGTCAGAATTGCCTAAAAGAAATTCTAAATAGAAATGATTTTGTGTCAAATTGTACCTATACTTGGTGGGATGTTTGGTCGTTGTTTTTGCACACACAGACATCTGTTTCAGTCCTGAATTGTGTGCTGTTGTGGTTCTCAGGCATTTGCCATGATAATGGAAAACACACAAGCAGTACCTGCAAACAAGCTTTGCATCTGCAGACATCTGTTTCAGTCCTGAATTATGTACTGTTGTGGTTCTCAGGCATTTGCCAAGGTACAAGCAGTACCTGCAAACAAGCTTTGCATCTACTCAAATTATCTTGCTGCACAGCAATTCAGAATTATCCTGAACCTGGAACACTTGAGGGATACAAGTTGTGCAATTTTTGGTCAGCTGTCTGAACTCTCACTGTGCAGCAATTCAGAATTATCCTGAACCTGGAACACTTGAGGGATACAAGTTGTGCAATTTTTGGTCAGCTGTCTGAAATGCAGGTCATACGCAGTGGCCTCAATCTTTAGATTAAGATTTCAGTGTAGAGAGGCCTCTTAAGAACACATGAAGACAGAGATACTTCCATAAAGAGATTACTCAGGCTTTGTTCTTATTCTGGAAAGGTGTCTTTGCATGACAAAAAGCAGCTCAGTAAGCAGTCCATACAGTGCTATAAAGTCCTTTAAGTGCATATTTCAGCATACTTTGAATGGTGGCTTTGTAGTGAGACCTGGGTATATATTACATGTAATTTTTTTCCAGTTTCTACATCCAGGTCACAGAAACGCTTACTTGTCAGTAGAAGATAAGTGTTTTTGTTTAAATTAATTTTAGTACATGGATGTGTGTGCATAGGTACATTTTAATGTATTTTTTTCTTTATGCTGCATGACTTGTGTTGTGCTCTATGGGCTGGCAGAAAATAAATGCCTAAGACAGAGCAGTTTTCCAAGCCATTAATGTGGGAGGTGTTTTAGTACAATAACTTACTGTATGCTTTTATAATTACTTTCACCAAATGGTTTCCAGTCAGTCTTTACCCACTAAGTCTGAAGTAGTTTTTGAAGAGCATAAATAGCACTCGGGTTTTATAAGTGAAAAACTTGGCAAAGCTGGAGTAACTTCATGAGAGAAAAATCATTTTATGGAAGAGTTAAATAGACTTCAGGTCTAGCTATCTACTGTTGGAAAATATCTTTTTCTAAGTTATTAAAGTTATTAGTCACAGTTTCAGTCACTAAGTCTGCGTTCTTAAGATCTTTAAGATGCATCTTAAAATAATTGTGAGGACTTGACATCAAAATATGAAACTCTTCTTTCATCCCATTCTTTTTTTCTTCAGTTAACGAGAGAAATGCATAATTAAATTTTGTTTGGAAAGTAACAATACAATTTATCTGAGTTGACAGGAGTTGAATAGAGCTGTTTTTGTAACCAGAACAGGGAGTTCAAGTGGCCTGATTTAATTTGAGCAAGTACAACTTTTCCTGTGAGTACTGGAGGGGAGTTTCTCCGTATCTGTTCATGGTTTTTCATTTTGTTTTAGCCCCAGTGGGTGTTCGCAGCCTCCAGGATCTGGCTCGCATTGCCATCCGAGGAACCATTAAAAAAATTATACATCAAGAAACAATGAACAAAAATGGAAACGGGCTGAAGAACCCCCCAAGATTTAAACGAAGACGCGTGCGTCGCCGTCGCATGGAAACTATTGTTTTCTTGGACAAAGAGGTCTTCGCTAGTCGTATCTCCAACCCCTCAGATGATAACAACAACAGCGAGGATCTCGAGGATGAGAGACAAGAAGAGGAAGAAACTAAACCCTCTGAACTAAAGCCAGATCCTCCTGTAAACTTTTTGAGAGAAAAGGTCTTGAGTCTGCCTTTGCCTGATCCCTTGAAATATTACCTGCTTTATTACAGGGAAAAGTAATTTCCTCCTTCTAGAAACTGGGAAGTAGGCAGAAAATAAAGTACTACTTAGGGCTTGACAAATGTATACCACTTGCTTGCCTGCTAATACGACCACCCAAGGCAGTAGGCTGGCTGGGGAATGTGGCTGCTGTATTCTTAAACATTATAGCTTTTTTTTTGAGTTTCTTCTTTCTTCTCAGTTGTGTGCTATAGTTTTATCCTACAGCAGGGATTCCTTAGGAAGCAAGTTGGTGAAACGCTCGGCTGCTTATGGAGAGGAGGATTTAATACCCCGAAACTAACTGCACAGGGATATTCTAAAAATCTCACAGCTGCTCTACTGAATGGCAGTTTTTAAATATTTGGAAGCAGGTCCCCAAAGATCTTTGCTGTCTGTGCTCTCTCCCACTAAACCTGCCATGTGTTAACCATGATGTGTGTTTAATGGAGGATGAGATTATTAGTAAAAACTGACCTGGCAAATTTTGTTTCTTCCAGCAATCTGAAAAAGCACAACTTGTACAGAGAGGAAAGAATTTTTGGCCTCTGACCTTGTGGCATTGAGGTTTTGAATGAGAAGGAAAGCATCAGCTCCACTTTGGTCTCAGTTTTGCGTATAAATGAGATATTTTTCAGGAAAAAAGTAAAAATGTTTTACAGAATATTGGGTTTCTTCATGGGAAACACCTGTTCTAGTGAATTAGTCTAATAGATGCAATTTTGGTTTGTGTTTTTTTTTTTAAAGCATTGGAGGCAAGTGAAGAGTTGTGAAGCTGATTTGCTTTGACAGGATGCTGGGGTAGCCAGGGTTGTGACTGGTCTCTGGAAATGTTTCCAGAGTAATTCTGGGTGGGCAAGAGGGTGGAGAGGAGATGTGTAGCAGTGAGTTTGTGAAAACTGACTGAGAGAGTGGAACCTGCAGGTTTTGCTCTTGTAGGAGAACTTCTGTCTGCTGGGCTGAGCAGGGTGAAGGCAGAGCCTGAGTGGCGTGGCTTGTGTCCCCATAATTCAGCCACATAATTTTATGGAGGGTATGTAGAACCTGAAAACAGTCTAGAAAGCCAAATTCATGCAGTTTTTAGGCATTCGTGTGTGTGCCTCTGCTGTAGCCAGGTGGCTAGAATACAACTTGTACACATACGGTAGGTGGAGTGAAGTTAATCAACTTCAGAGGTTATTTTATTCCTGCAACAATTAAGTAGATGCTTTAACGAGCTCATATAGAAGGATTTTAGGCTCTGCGGTTCTGTGGATGTAAACTCTTTAATTTTTATTCCCAAGTCTTCCTGTAATGGTAATGGAAGGAGATACCATGTTTAGAAGGGGGAATTTAGTTGGTTCAGCCTGTTTGAAAAATCTACCTAAACTGGGAAAGGCTGGAAAGAAACCCTTTGAGCTTGTGCTGATGTGAAATACTCCTAAAGCTGGGGGGAGTGAAAAACCCCCTCTCAGTAGATAATTAAGCTACGTTAAGGCATTGCCCCATTAGAAGCACTTAACTTGGTATGACTTTGATAACTTTATTTTGGTACCATCGCCTCATTTTCTGAGGAATGAATGAATGAAGAGTGTCTTGCCAAAAATACGTGGGGTTTTCGACTAACGGTACTGAGTTGCACAAGTTGCTTAGTGGTAAACAGTGTTTCAAAGTTCCCTGCAGCTTTGAAAAGAAACAGCTAACTCTTGTGTGTGTAAGCCCGAGGTGGAGAATTCTTCCTGGCTTAATAGGCTTTTTGTATATCTTTGAGAATATTAGCTTGATAATACAGTGTCATGTGGCCGCTGGCACGTAACGCGGTCGTGGGCTGTGTTTTGCTTCTGGTTTCCTAAGTCTCCACTTCTGGTCTAAATGGGACCCCGAGTTATCTTGCTCCCTCAGATTTTTATTTCTTTATTTTAAATGGGGCAGTTCTGGGGCCACTGAGCTGATGGTTTCCTGTAAACATCCAAGTGTCCCTCTTGTAATTCTGGCAACTACGATGAATTTCTTTCTACAAATGGAAATCCTGAATACGGTGGTAAATGGAGGCTTAATAGAATCTACGTGTAATATTTCTCTGTGCTTCCCCAAAGGCTGTCACCTCTGTAATTGTGAGGCATTTCTGCTTAATAGCTGTCAAACTAGGTCTGTGCCTTTCTGTGTTGTGGCACAATTTCCATATCCCTACAGAGGGCGCCTGCTACTTTTGGCTACCGGCTCATCCTTAAGTGTGTTAATTGCAAAACTTAAAGAAGTTGCTTTAAAAATAACATTAAACTTCAGGATTGTATTGGTAAACCTTGCAGAGATTCTGTTAAAGCTGACCAGTTGAGGGAGAATTATCTTTCATTCATCCCTGTTTGATTATTTTTTTTTTTTCCCCACCCCCAGTTGTAAAAGATAATTTTACCAGATTTTTTCACCAGATTTGCCTTTTTTATTACATTTGCTAGATTTTTGTAGCTTTCTATAAGATGCATAAAATACTGCTATTTTTTCCTGGATAAGGTTGAATAAATAAATATATATATACCGGAAATTTATGTTTTAGGTTGTCAAATTGTCCCCTTGTCTAAAAGAGCCCCCACATATCCAAGCAAACCCATAGGAGAAATTTTATGTGTAATATAACTGTGAAATAGTATTGCTTATAGCCTGTAAAAGAAGGGGAGCTGTAAATAGGTTTTCCCTGTGCACAAGCACTTGCACTGTAGTTTTGTATGCATTTCTAATAGAGTCACTGTAGCAGAACTGCTTTTGTATAGATTGTAAACTGTCTAGGAATTTTACCTGCTTTGACTGTTTCCTTTTTGTCTTCTAAGTCTTCTTTAATTGTATGTGACTCCTTTTAGGTTTCAATACCGCAGTAAATTTGCAAAAAAGAAACAAACTTCAAGCTGCTTTAATCATTAGTGTGGGAGTTGAGAAATCAATGTGTAGAAACTAGAGTTAAATTGGCCTGAGGCATGCAGAAGTGTTACGCAATTTAAACTTTATTAATATAAAGTGTTTCTGTATCAATAAATTCAGTAAAGACTTTTTAGCCTTCTTAAAATGGCTTTGCTTCATGTTGTGATGAGAATACTTTGGAGGTAAGTACTCTTTCCCTAATTGAAGGTTGAGACACTAGAACTCTAGAAAAAGCACTTAATAATACGGTGCAGATACATAGTTTTAGATTAACTCCTCTGAATATAATCTCTCAAAAGAAACCTGCAGGCTGATGGTTTCTCACCCTTTGTGTGATGGAGCTGTGCAAGGTGTGTGTTGGAACTGGCACACACAGCACTCGTCCAGATTTAATCTATCAGAGTGATTTAAGGGTGAACTCACTTTCCTGGCTGTTAGAGCTGGAGAGAACAGATACGGAGAGTTTCTGTACTTCAAGGAATTGTCTAAACTTGAACAGGTCAGGGGTTTGTTGAGTGCATTCTGAACTGCAGCTCCCCCCTTGTCTCCTCTGCTCTCTTTCAGTGCTAATTCATGCAGGGTTTTAAGAGCTGGTGGTCAAGGTTTCCATTTCATGGGTATTGACAATAACATTTTGGCTTCAGTTGTAATAAGAAACTGAATGTAATAGTAAATACAGCTGTTGCTTGTTAAATATATCTGTTAATCTCTATTCCAATAGCTGTTAACCTTCATTCCACAGGATAATTATCTCCAGTCTGTGTTTCTTCCTGTCACCTGTGTATATGATAGATGTCCTTTTACCAACTATAACATGAGACTAGTTCAGTGTTAGTGTTTTCTTTGTGTGATGCTTGCTGAGAAGAAAAACCCTTTTCTGCTTTGGAAAGATATGGATGTGTCACACGAACGGTATCGAGTAAATTAAATTTGTCAGTTAATGTTTATATTCATAGTGAAATGTGCAACATCACAGTTCCCTGAAGTAGTGATGAGCTCTTCAGGGGACCTACTCCAGGGAAATCTTTCTGCTGGGACAGAAGTGATAGTTAAAAATACAGCAAAGAAGGGGATGGGAGGGGGAAACCATCACACCTGAAAAACAAAAGCAGGTTTTCTTGCATTCTACTGGTATAAAGAAGTGTGTCCAGCAGGGGCTGGAACTGCTGAAGTGGGGGACACAGAGTTGACTTTCCTTCCTGGTTCCTTGGAGTTAACTTTTGGTTCTTGTTCAGAATACCTTGCCCAGCTCTCCTGTGAGCAATGCAAATAAACCTGAAAGGGATTTATTTTGCAGGTGGGTTGGTTTAGAGCTCAAGAGTTTATACACCAAGATGTGATCTGAGGCAGAAGGCAAAACCCTTCTGTATTTGTAGAGGGCAGATGCACCGGGGAGGATGTTGAGGACTTTCCTAAATACTGAAGCATGGTTTGAAGAGAGCATTTGCATTTATTTTTTTAGAAATATTTCTCTACGGAGCAGCTCCTAAGTAGCTGTGTGAGCCTGTCTTAAGAGCTCAGTGTATTTTGGAAAGAGATGGTATGGGAGCCATCAGGCTGGAAGGATGTACGACTTAAGTCTTGAAGACTTTGATGATGTAACCTGCGTTGTCTTTTTTAATGCACATAAAGGACGCACTTCTAATGCATTTGATTTCTCAAATTGGAATTAAAAGCTGTCATTTACCTGGAGCAATCTGCTCTCAGCTGCCAATTTTTTATATATAAAGGTTGGAGCAGATAATTCAGCCGAAACCAACCCGTTTTGGGGCTGGGTGGCCACTAGAGGGCACTCTGCTCAAAACCATGAGCGGGGCCCGCGGGGGGAGCGGGGGGGAGCTCAGAGACCTTGGATATGGAAGTGATGTCGGGGCAAACAACCAACAGATGCAGAAAACCTGCAGTAAAATGCCCTTTTGTAGCTGGGAAAAATACAGCTTTTACCATCTACGACATGAGATTTGTACTTGAAACCCCCAAACCCAACAATCTGCCCCTAAATGCTCATATAACAACCTGAAGGGAGAAGAGGACTGGGAGGTTTGGATGTTCCTCTTGTTAGGTACCGTTTTGTCACGTTAATTTTATTGTCGTTTACAATAGAAAGCCGCCTGATGCAGGGTGATGGGAACTTTCTTTTCATCTTCCAGGTGGGGTGAATGGGGAATTCCTGAGGTACCGTTATATCCTAATGAGCATTAATGCCTCGAGCTCCTCCCAAACCCGCACATTTAGCATCTTTTTTCATAACAACTTAAAACCTAAAGACAAGCTGTTTTCACGCTAAGCTTCTTTATAACAGTAAAAGGTGATTAAATCACCTGGAAATGGTGGTTTAATCACCCTTTGACATCTCGATTTTTATCATCCAATGGGAGAAAGAGACTGAGGTGTTTCCTACAGTTCAAACTCAATTGGTTTCATTGTTTCTTCCCCCCTCTTTGCCCCTCAATTGGTTTTAGTTTCTCCAAAATCCAAATGTTTTTCCAAAGGACGTCCTTGTAGAAAGAAATTGTGCTGGCTTAGAGGTCTCTGATATGAATTGGCTTTTACTCTGCACAAGAAACTTTACAGAATGCATACAATTAGGGTTGGGGTTCTTTTTGTGTCTTTATTTGCAGGTTATTTATCTCTGTTAGTGATCTCCCTTTTACAATCACTTATCTCTAGGATTCCATGCTCCTCTCAAAGGCTGAAGATGTATTTTTTGCTGGATGTCATAAGGACATATAAGAGACAGTCTCTACCCTAAAAGTCTTGCCGGCTGATATATTTGACAGGCTGTTAGATAAGATTTTACCCTTAATTTGCAGACTGTGCTACGGCAAGAATTTGGACATAAAAACCCCTTGACCCTGGGCCATCTGTGTCCTGGCTCAGCCCTGGGAGCGCGGGGGCACTTTTGGGTCATTGTCCATGAAGGTACCTTCTGCAGGAGAAGGGAGGAGGTGAGGAGTGAACTCGCTGTTCCAAATAAGAAACGAGGCAAAAATAGATCCAAATTAAGAATTTGTTATTTCAGGACCCTAATTAGAGAAGGGGAGGTGAACGGGCTGATCTTTGGGGATGTGCAGGGAGGGTGGGCGGTTGGACTGTCAAACTGCCGTAATTTAATTGCAAACACATGCTGATGAGTCCCCTCCTCCTCCTCTTGGACCTCAGGGCTGGGAAACTTTTCTTTCTTTTTTTTTTTTTTTTTTTTTTTTTTTTTTTTTTTTTTTAACACAGAGTTGACTTTCCTTCCTGGTTCCTTGGAGTTAACTTTTGGTTCTTGTTCAGAATACCTTGCCCAGCTCTCCTGTGAGCAATGCAAATAAACCTGAAAGGGATTTATTTTGCAGGTGGGTTGGTTTAGAGCTCAAGAGTTTATACACCAAGATGTGATCTGAGGCAGAAGGCAAAACCCTTCTGTATTTGTAGAGGGCAGATGCACCGGGGAGGATGTTGAGGACTTTCCTAAATACTGAAGCATGGTTTGAAGAGAGCATTTGCATTTATTTTTTTAGAAATATTTCTCTACGGAGCAGCTCCTAAGTAGCTGTGTGAGCCTGTCTTAAGAGCTCAGTGTATTTTGGAAAGAGATGGTATGGGAGCCATCAGGCTGGAAGGATGTACGACTTAAGTCTTGAAGACTTTGATGATGTAACCTGCGTTGTCTTTTTTAATGCACATAAAGGACGCACTTCTAATGCATTTGATTTCTCAAATTGGAATTAAAAGCTGTCATTTACCTGGAGCAATCTGCTCTCAGCTGCCAATTTTTTATATATAAAGGTTGGAGCAGATAATTCAGCCGAAACCAACCCGTTTTGGGGCTGGGTGGCCACTAGAGGGCACTCTGCTCAAAACCATGAGCGGGGCCCGCGGGGGGAGCGGGGGGGAGCTCAGAGACCTTGGATATGGAAGTGATGTCGGGGCAAACAACCAACAGATGCAGAAAACCTGCAGTAAAATGCCCTTTTGTAGCTGGGAAAAATACAGCTTTTACCATCTACGACATGAGATTTGTACTTGAAACCCCCAAACCCAACAATCTGCCCCTAAATGCTCATATAACAACCTGAAGGGAGAAGAGGACTGGGAGGTTTGGATGTTCCTCTTGTTAGGTACCGTTTTGTCACGTTAATTTTATTGTCGTTTACAATAGAAAGCCGCCTGATGCAGGGTGTGTGACTCCTTTTAGGTTTCAATCCTGCAGTAAATTTGCAAAAAAGAAACAAACTTCAAGCTGCTTTAATCATTAGTGTGGGAGTTGAGAAATCAATGTGTAGAAACTAGAGTTAAATTGGCCTGAGGCATGCAGAAGTGTTACGCAATTTAAACTTTATTAATATAAAGTGTTTCTGTATCAATAAATTCAGTAAAGACTTTTTAGCCTTCTTAAAATGGCTTTGCTTCATGTTGTGATGAGAATACTTTGGAGGTAAGTACTCTTTCCCTAATTGAAGGTTGAGACACTAGAACTCTAGAAAAAGCACTTAATAATACGGTGCAGATACATAGTTTTAGATTAACTCCTCTGAATATAATCTCTCAAAAGAAACCTGCAGGCTGATGGTTTCTCACCCTTTGTGTGATGGAGCTGTGCAAGGTGTGTGTTGGAACTGGCACACACAGCACTCGTCCAGATTTAATCTATCAGAGTGATTTAAGGGTGAACTCACTTTCCTGGCTGTTAGAGCTGGAGAGAACAGATACGGAGAGTTTCTGTACTTCAAGGAATTGTCTAAACTTGAACAGGTCAGGGGTTTGTTGAGTGCATTCTGAACTGCAGCTCCCCCCTTGTCTCCTCTGCTCTCTTTCAGTGCTAATTCATGCAGGGTTTTAAGAGCTGGTGGTCAAGGTTTCCATTTCATGGGTATTGACAATAACATTTTGGCTTCAGTTGTAATAAGAAACTGAATGTAATAGTAAATACAGCTGTTGCTTGTTAAATATATCTGTTAATCTCTATTCCAATAGCTGTTAACCTTCATTCCACAGGATAATTATCTCCAGTCTGTGTTTCTTCCTGTCACCTGTGTATATGATAGATGTCCTTTTACCAACTATAACATGAGACTAGTTCAGTGTTAGTGTTTTCTTTGTGTGATGCTTGCTGAGAAGAAAAACCCTTTTCTGCTTTGGAAAGATATGGATGTGTCACACGAACGGTATCGAGTAAATTAAATTTGTCAGTTAATGTTTATATTCATAGTGAAATGTGCAACATCACAGTTCCCTGAAGTAGTGATGAGCTCTTCAGGGGACCTACTCCAGGGAAATCTTTCTGCTGGGACAGAAGTGATAGTTAAAAATACAGCAAAGAAGGGGATGGGAGGGGGAAACCATCACACCTGAAAAACAAAAGCAGGTTTTCTTGCATTCTACTGGTATAAAGAAGTGTGTCCAGCAGGGGCTGGAACTGCTGAAGTGGGGGACACAGGGTTGACTTTCCTTCCTGGTCCTTAAGAGTTAACTTTTGGTTCTTGTTCAGAATACCTTGCCCAGCTCTCCTGTGAGCAATGCAAATAAACCTGAAAGGGATTTATTTTGCAGGTGGGTTGGTTTAGAGCTCAAGAGTTTATACACCAAGATGTGATCTGAGGCAGAAGGCAAAAGCCTTCTGTATTTGTAGAGGCCGGATGTACCGGGGAGGATGTTGATGACTTTCCTTGAAGCATGGTTTGAAGAGAGCATTTGCGTTTATTTTTTAAGAAATATTTCTCTACGGAGCAGCTCCTAAGTAGCTGTGTGAGCCTGTCTTAAGAGCTCAGTGTATTTTGGAAAGAGATGGTATGGGAGCCATCAGGCTGGAAGGATGTACGACTTAAGTCTTGAAGACTTTGATGATGTAACCTGCGTTGTCTTTTTTAATGCACATAAAGGACGCACTTCTAATGCATTTGATTTCTCAAATTGGAATTAAAAGCTGTCATTTACCTGGAGCAATCTGCTCTCAGCTGCCAATTTTTTATATATAAAGGTTGGAGCAGATAATTCAGCCGAAACCAACCCGTTTTGGGGCTGGGTGGCCACTAGAGGGCACTCTGCTCAAAACCATGAGCGGGGCCCGCGGGGGGAGCGGGGGGGAGCTCAGAGACCTTGGATATGGAAGTGATGTCGGGGCAAACAACCAACAGATGCAGAAAACCTGCAGTAAAATGCCCTTTTGTAGCTGGGAAAAATACAGCTTTTACCATCTACGACATGAGATTTGTACTTGAAACCCCCAAACCCAACAATCTGCCCCTAAATGCTCATATAACAACCTGAAGGGAGAAGAGGACTGGGAGGTTTGGATGTTCCTCTTGTTAGGTACCGTTTTGTCACGTTAATTTTATTGTCGTTTACAATAGAAAGCCGCCTGATGCAGGGTGATGGGAACTTTCTTTTCATCTTCCAGGTGGGGTGAATGGGGAATTCCTGAGGTACCGTTATATCCTAATGAGCATTAATGCCTCGAGCTCCTCCCAAACCCGCACATTTAGCATCTTTTTTCATAACAACTTAAAACCTAAAGACAAGCTGTTTTCACGCTAAGCTTCTTTATAACAGTAAAAGGTGATTAAATCACCTGGAAATGGTGGTTTAATCACCCTTTGACATCTCGATTTTTATCATCCAATGGGAGAAAGAGACTGAGGTGTTTCCTACAGTTCAAACTCAATTGGTTTCATTGTTTCTTCCCCCCTCTTTGCCCCTCAATTGGTTTTAGTTTCTCCAAAATCCAAATGTTTTTCCAAAGGACGTCCTTGTAGAAAGAAATTGTGCTGGCTTAGAGGTCTCTGATATGAATTGGCTTTTACTCTGCACAAGAAACTTTACAGAATGCATACAATTAGGGTTGGGGTTCTTTTTGTGTCTTTATTTGCAGGTTATTTATCTCTGTTAGTGATCTCCCTTTTACAATCACTTATCTCTAGGATTCCATGCTCCTCTCAAAGGCTGAAGATGTATTTTTTGCTGGATGTCATAAGGACATATAAGAGACAGTCTCTACCCTAAAAGTCTTGCCGGCTGATATATTTGACAGGCTGTTAGATAAGATTTTACCCTTAATTTGCAGACTGTGCTACGGCAAGAATTTGGACATAAAAACCCCTTGACCCTGGGCCATCTGTGTCCTGGCTCAGCCCTGGGAGCGCGGGGGCACTTTTGGGTCATTGTCCATGAAGGTACCTTCTGCAGGAGAAGGGAGGAGGTGAGGAGTGAACTCGCTGTTCCAAATAAGAAACGAGGCAAAAATAGATCCAAATTAAGAATTTGTTATTTCAGGACCCTAATTAGAGAAGGGGAGGTGAACGGGCTGATCTTTGGGGATGTGCAGGGAGGGTGGGCGGTTGGACTGTCAAACTGCCGTAATTTAATTGCAAACACATGCTGATGAGTCCCCTCCTCCTCCTCTTGGACCTCAGGGCTGGGAAACTTTTCTTTCTTTTTTTTTTTTTTTTTTTTTTTTTTTTTTTTTTTTTTTTTTTTTGTGTCAGCTCCCTGCAGTTCAGAACCGAGGCAAATACACTCCAGCAAACACCATGTTCATCAAACCTGCTGCTCTTCCAGCCTTTTTGTGCTTTCTCCTCCTGCCCAGTCTCTCCTGCTCCTGCCCCAGTCGCTGCCTCTGCTTCAGGACCACAGTGAGATGCATGCATCTGATGCTGGAAACCATCCCCGATATCCCACCCCAGACAAACATACTGTGAGTAACCACTGCCTTTTACTGCCTTTCTTACCTGCTTGCTCTTTAGAAAGAGGGGGAAAAAAAAAAAAGTCAAGGCCAAAAGCGTGCTTTTTATCCTCCTTTTTTTTTTCCCCTGCAGAATCGTCTGTATCACAAACTGTTTGGTGCTTTTAAAGCATGAAACAGAAACTGCTTCTTGTAGCATCAGTTAATTGTTAACAGGATGATTAAGGGAAGTGAAAAATTTAATGAGAATAACGCCAGGGGGATCAGCAGAAGACAGTCTTGGAGAATCAAGGGTCACAAATGTTAAACTGAGCTTATAGAAAGGTACACAGTTTATATTTGAGAAGGCTTTGTCTGTGGGTGTAGGGGGGAGAGGAAATTCTGCAGTTCAGGCTTTTGTCTGTACAGAAAAAGCCCCCACTTTTCTAATTAATACAACCCTATTTCTTTCCTCGATTTTTAAGTACTAGTTTTCTGGTTTCTATCTGAACTCTACAAACCAGACTTATTTGGAAAGCAACAATTGTGGCAAAGTCACAGATCCCTTGAGAAATAAAGTACCTGTTGGAGAGGGAGCTCCTGGCTGAGCCCATTCGAACAGAAAAAGGGGAGGAAAAGGGCGTGTAAGGCTTGGAGCCTCCAAACCAGCTCTTTCTGATAGAGCCAGAAGATCTGCCCTGTGATTCTGAAGTAGTTTATCCTGCATTTAAAGGTGGCTTTAAGATGCACTAACAAAATACTTCCCTTTGTGCTACTCTTAGCTGACCCCTTGGTTTGAAAGACCTCTTTTGCAAATAGTAGGAAAGACGTCAAAAATTTATCTTTATACTCATTGTCCTTCAACTGCTGCCAGTTGTAGAAGTTCTCGGACTTTTTCAGCACTACTTTGAGAAGCTTTTCCCTGGAACAAACCAAATTTAGTCTCAGCCAGCACATTTCTCCTGTGAGCATCTCTCCTGTGAGCATCTCACTGATATTGCTAATGTGTTCTCTCTGCCGGCAGCCCAAGGAAGGGGTTGTGGGCAGGACCCTGGTGTCCCAGTTGCTGCCACCCAGATCTGCTGTGGTGGATGGAGACCACAGAGGTTCTGGCGTGAGGGGCACACAGGGAAATGCCTCCACTTGCTCCAGCTGCCAGAGCTGTGCTGTTGGGGAAACTGGTGGCAACTGGGCTACTTGGGGGTCGCCCTGCCATGGGGCAGATCAGAACCTGGACTTGCTCTCAAGTGGTGAAACTGGGCAGAACTGTCTGGTGTGTTCCAAACTGGGCAGTGGTTATCTGCTCTTACAGCAACCTGCAGAGCCTGACTCTCCAAATTGTCCCTAAACTTCCCCCCGCCTTGTTCCCTCGTATCTTGAAATACTAAAATGTTTAAAATGCCCCTATACTATTTGATTTTAGCAAAATAACTTGCTTCTCCTCGTTTAAACGTAGATTTTATTGGGGCAAAAGCTTGTTTCGTTGGCTGAACTGGGCTATTTCTGAGCTTAGTAAAGCTTAATTTCTGTTCTCTGTATTTGAAATGAGACATTTACTGTCACACTGGGTAGCCTGAGCATGTTTCTGGTAAACATTCTTTGAATTTGGGAAATTTACTGTGGTTGCCAACTTTTTTTCAGTACTGGAATGGTGGATTTCTCCATGCCCTCTGGCAACAGCGCACTTCATTCTTGCTGTGCTGCAAGGGATAAAAAAACCTTACTCTGGTCCATGGCTTGTCCTTGCAGCTTTAGTAAAATTCCAGGTAGTATCTTCTTATAATGTAAGTGACATTTAGTTCTCTGTAAAACTCAATCTAGAAAGGTGACCAGCTTTCCCAGTGCAGTGCATACAGTCATCCTAATTCTCTCTCCCCTGCTCTAACTAGTTTGCATCTCCACTGCTTGTAAATGGTCCATGTTTTGCCTCCTTAACCATCGGGAATGCTGGTTTATTTATTTTAAGGTGATAGCCTTGAATGGGAGACAGGGTTTTAAAACATTAACTAAAGGGTATAAGTGTGAGATATAAAAGTATTACTATTCCAAAATGAGATGACTGCCTTTGTAGACCAGTATTTTTTAAGGATATTTATCTGGTTTTTTTCCTGTCTTTTGTACCGCCTGCATAATTATAAGCAAAACTCATACTGATGAGCAGAGAATCTCCATAGATACAAAGACATGTGAGCCTGGTAAGTGTTCTCTCTTGGCAGATCATGTGCCTTTGGATGGTGTGTGGCAAGGAAAAATCCTGACTTTCTGGCTATCTTGAAGATCTAATGTATGTAAATGTATTTGCCAGCCAGCATCCCATTGTATCTGTTATAAATAGCATTTAAATAATTAAAGTTTTTTCAATAGTGAAAGATCAAAGAATGCTTCTTAACCAAGCCCCTGACTACTCCAGCTTTTTGGTATGTTAATCTTTCTCCTGGGAGGATGGTTGTGTCAGAGGGAGCATCCAGAATTATAGCAGGAATAGTCTTGACCATGGATTTATTCTGTGAGAATAACGCCAGGGGGATCAGCAGAAGACAGTCTTGGAGAATCAAGGGTCACAAATGTTAAACTGAGCTTATAGAAAGGTACACAGTTTATATTTGAGAAGGCTTTGTCTGTGGGTGTAGGGGGGAGAGGAAATTCTGCAGTTCAGGCTTTTGTCTGTACAGAAAAAGCCCCCACTTTTCTAATTAATACAACCCTATTTCTTTCCTCGATTTTTAAGTACTAGTTTTCTGGTTTCTATCTGAACTCTACAAACCAGACTTATTTGGAAAGCAACAATTGTGGCAAAGTCACAGATCCCTTGAGAAATAAAGTACCTGTTGGAGAGGGAGCTCCTGGCTGAGCCCATTCGAACAGAAAAAGGGGAGGAAAAGGGCGTGTAAGGCTTGGAGCCTCCAAACCAGCTCTTTCTGATAGAGCCAGAAGATCTGCCCTGTGATTCTGAAGTAGTTTATCCTGCATTTAAAGGTGGCTTTAAGATGCACTAACAAAATACTTCCCTTTGTGCTACTCTTAGCTGACCCCTTGGTTTGAAAGACCTCTTTTGCAAATAGTAGGAAAGACGTCAAAAATTTATCTTTATACTCATTGTCCTTCAACTGCTGCCAGTTGTAGAAGTTCTCGGACTTTTTCAGCACTACTTTGAGAAGCTTTTCCCTGGAACAAACCAAATTTAGTCTCAGCCAGCACATTTCTCCTGTGAGCATCTCTCCTGTGAGCATCTCACTGATATTGCTAATGTGTTCTCTCTGCCGGCAGCCCAAGGAAGGGGTTGTGGGCAGGACCCTGGTGTCCCAGTTGCTGCCACCCAGATCTGCTGTGGTGGATGGAGACCACAGAGGTTCTGGCGTGAGGGGCACACAGGGAAATGCCTCCACTTGCTCCAGCTGCCAGAGCTGTGCTGTTGGGGAAACTGGTGGCAACTGGGCTACTTGGGGGTCGCCCTGCCATGGGGCAGATCAGAACCTGGACTTGCTCTCAAGTGGTGAAACTGGGCAGAACTGTCTGGTGTGTTCCAAACTGGGCAGTGGTTATCTGCTCTTACAGCAACCTGCAGAGCCTGACTCTCCAAATTGTCCCTAAACTTCCCCCCGCCTTGTTCCCTCGTATCTTGAAATACTAAAATGTTTAAAATGCCCCTATACTATTTGATTTTAGCAAAATAACTTGCTTCTCCTCGTTTAAACGTAGATTTTATTGGGGCAAAAGCTTGTTTCGTTGGCTGAACTGGGCTATTTCTGAGCTTAGTAAAGCTTAATTTCTGTTCTCTGTATTTGAAATGAGACATTTACTGTCACACTGGGTAGCCTGAGCATGTTTCTGGTAAACATTCTTTGAATTTGGGAAATTTACTGTGGTTGCCAACTTTTTTTCAGTACTGGAATGGTGGATTTCTCCATGCCCTCTGGCAACTGCACACTTCATTCTTGCTGTGCTGCAAGGGATAAAAAAACCTTACTCTGGTCCATGGCTTGTCCTTGCAGCTTTAGTAAAATTCCAGGTAGTATCTTCTTATAATGTAAGTGCAAACTGACTGGGCAGTGGTTATCTGCTCTTACAGCAACCTGCAGTGCCTGACTCTCCAAATTGTCCCTAAACTTCCCCCCGCCTTGTTCCCTCGTATCTTGAAATACTAAAATGTTTAAAATGCCCCTATACTCTTTGATTTTAGCAAAATAACTTGCTTCTCCTCGTTTAAACGTAGATTTTATTGGGGCAAAAGCTTGTTTCGTTGGCTAAACTGGGATATTTCTGTTCTCTATATTTGAAATGAGACATTTACTGTCACACTGGGTAGCCTGAGCGTGTTTCTGGTAAACATTCTTTGAATTTGGGAAATTTACTGTGGTTGCCAACTTTTTTTCAGTACTGGAATGGTGGATTTCTCCATGCCCTCTGGCAACAGCGCACTTCATTCTTGCTGTGCTGCAAGGGATAAAAAAACCTTACTCTGGTCAGTGGCTTGTCCTTGCCATGGCTTTAGTAAAATTCCAGGTAGTATCTTCTTATAATGTAAGTGACATTTAGTTCTCTGTACAACTCAATCTAGTAAAGTGACCAGCTTTCCCAGTGCAGTGCATACAGTCACCAGTGGCTTGTCCTTGCCATGGCTTTAGTAAAATTCCAGGTAGTATCTTCTTATAATGTAAGTGACATTTAGTTCTCTGTACAACTCAATCTAGTAAAGTGACCAGCTTTCCCAGTGCAGTGCAAACTGGGATATTTCTGTTCTCTATATTTGAAATGAGACATTTACTGTCACACTGGAACTGGGCTATTTCTGAGCTTAGTAAAGCTTAATTTCTGTTCTCTGTATTTGAAATGAGACATTTACTGTCACACTGGGTAGCCTGAGCATGTTTCTGGTAAACATTCTTTGAATTTGGGAAATTTACTGTGGTTGCCAACTTTTTTTCAGTACTGGAATGGTGGATTTCTCCATGCCCTCTGGCAACTGCACACTTCATTCTTGCTGTGCTGCAAGGGATAAAAAAACCTTACTCTGGTCCATGGCTTGTCCTTGC